CATGAAAAGTAATTTCTTGCCAATACAGATAACAGCCTAACGGTTTGTAGAAGCATGGAATGCAAAAGCCACACAACAGCTGTGATGTGGGGAAATATATATATATATAAAAGAAATACTGAGATGGCTTTCATCACATTCATCACAGACTTAAAAAAGAACTGTATTACACTGATCATATTTGAGATGAAAAAGCCCAGTCGGGGAAAAATGGCACGATCCACAGTTACAAATCCCATTTGAAACAAGATCAACACAAGCTCAGAATTTATCTGAGCTTCCCTGCTTTATGACTTGTTATATACTAGTGCACTGTGGCACACTAAGTGCTTTCACCTCACTCACCGCAAGCTGAAATGATAATTCTGAGCTAAACTTAATTCCCATCAAGTTAAAATTATTTGTCTTCATTTCCATCTCCCTACCCGCATGTGTTCTGCTCATGTTATCCATATGTCTACATCCCACTCAGTAGAGAGAGCTTTTCTTCATACCACTCTTCACCACCTAGCACACCTTGCTGGAAAGGCAAAAACCAGTCCCTCCAAATGCATATAGACTTCAGCAGCACTCACATGCTTCAATAAGGGATTAAGCCTAAAAATTCGTGTTGGTTCAAAAGATTTGCAGAGGAGCTGTTATCTCAAAGGTGGTACTTAGGGTTGTCCTTCATTTCCTCCAGTCTAATATTTAAAATTCTTCTATTTGCAATATTTTTCCTTTAGCTTAAAAAAAGAGAAACGATCTCAATATTTTCAAAATACCCAGGAAAGTTAGAGTCAGTGTTGGTACTCAGATATTTGACTCACAGCTGGGCAGGGGGGAGGGAAATCATATTATTATATTATAATCATTTTTAACCTGTTTCTTTTAAGGGTTATATAACATAACAATCTAGCAATAGGAAAAGCTAAAAGATTCAAAATTCTACGGAGAAATAAGTCTCAGTGTTTAATTCATTTCCAATAAATAAAGCCAGAGGCCCTACAAGGCAACTTACAGAACAGTTATAATACACATAGATATCATGCAGTACACCAACAACTGTTGCAGAAATATGTCAGTCAAAAACACTTCAAAGTATATCAAATTTGCCTTCAAAACATGTTAGAAATTGATTGCACAGAGTGTCAGAACACCCAACTGCTGTTTAGCTCAGAACAGGCCAAATTAACGCCTTTTGCTCTTACTTCCCCTAGCACATCCAGAAATGAAGAGATTTTCTGGCTAAACTGTGAGTCATGGGATCAATCCCAGCTCCATTCAGCCGCTTCCCACTGCAATATGCTGCAATTCCCAACCCTCCACCTTTCTTACAGGGCTGGTGCTTTGGGAACCCTCATTTGTTTTACTGCAGACCTTGTTACAGGTCTTGTTTCAAAGGAAACTAGATACCCTTTTCCTGCAAAAGGAGGGAGAAGAGGAAGAAAAAGAAAACTTTCTAAAGGGACAGAGAATGGACCATGTCATTTTAGAAATATCATAAACACTATTCATCACCATTTGCAGCTTAACATTATTAAGGATCAAGCAAGTTTTTATATGCAAGTTTAACTTTAATCCTGACTTGGTTTCCATGGTACTCATCTTTCTGAACTGCTTCTTCTCTGAAACATAATTTTTAGTAGAGAAACATCAACATGGATAGTACTAAGACTCATGTGCCACACGTCTGAAATTGCTTCTAATGAAAAATGGTTTCATCTGGCCTGAATGCAGTTGCACAATCTTTTAAAGTTTTGACACAGCAAAACAGGAAATTCATGATGTAAACTCTTCGGTTATTGGTTATAAAAACAAACATTGGAAGTATTAAAAGCACAATGGAGAGGGGGGAAAAAGAACACAATGTGGGGAGGGGGAAAGGAAAAAAGGAAGGGGTTAGACTGTGCAGGGTCAACCTTAAAAATACAATGGACAAGGCATTTAGCAAATTAACTTCCTATTACACTTGGTGAGTTATGAAACTAAGTGGTTAAAAGCATTTATCAACTAGGGCAGTCAGGCCCTTCTTCAGCAGAACTGAACCTTTCTACCATTAAAAAATAAATAATTAAATCACTGAATACATTCAATTAACGTTGCTGATAGAACGGCTTAGCCTTTGTCTTCTATGAACTGCAAGCCTTTAAATTGGGGAACGTCCATTTTAAGAACACACATTAGTTAAATAGAACTGACAATTTTGTTATCTTAAACTTGCTATATTAAAAACAGCAAACAACTCTATTTCTGTAAAACTGCAGCACGTGCAAAACACCTCTTTATTAGCATAGTTTCAGTATGCATTCTTCTTCACGATATTCATAATATGATACATAAGTGGCATACATGCTGTAGAGTTGCACATTATGCTAATGAAAAAACATGCAAGCCTGCTCAAATAGAGCAGCAAAGCAGATGCATAACCATTATGGATTTCTATGAAAAAAATCTGATCACAGGTTGACAAACGATGGAGAAGAAAAACTGGAAAAATAAATATTTTTTTAGTAAAAGGACACAGCAATCAATGAATACTTTTATATTCCATTATATGACTGCTAAAGGCTGTCAAATGGATTCAAATCTATTTCCTCTAAGTGATGTAGGCAGTCCAGTTAATTCACGCTTAATGAGCCAACATCCTTTAGCAGAGAAATTACAATTTAAGGGGGCTTTGCTGTATTTTGCACGTGTCACCTGCCATGCATTTTGCTCACATTAGGTAAGCATTAAAAACTCTTTTTGCTTGCAAGACCTGCACATTTCTGCAGGGCTGCCACCAGGATTCTGCTCCTGCAAGGCAGCACACACTGCAGTAATTCTCTAGTTCTACAGCAAGAGAGGGAGGTTATCCTGTGCTAATCTACCACGAAAATAATATTGACACCCAGAAAGCTACTGTTACAACTCCGGGATGCAAGAAAAACATCCTCAAAGCCCTCTTGCTGTCATCTGTATCAACAGATCCAAGCGAAAGGCATGCAACTGCCTCAAATATAACCTAGCCTCCTAGTCCTAAAGATAAAATGAGCAATAACAAAATTAAAAAGGCTGAGGGGCTGCTGCAGGGCCCGGGCGCTGCAAAGGGACTCGCCAGCCCCCGTCGCTCTGCACGCCCGCCTGCAAGGCGGCACAGGGAAATATGTCCCAGATCACGCCGGGGGGGTGCAGGGCCGCGATTATCTTCCCCTGCAAAAATGTTTTCGTGCCACCTGCCATGCGGTGCAATGCGACACATCCCGCCCTCCCCCCGCCCCGCGGACTCACCACACGGAGCCGTAGGCCCCGGATCCGACCGGGGAGAGGTTCTGGTAGCGCTCGGGCACCTCCCACACCGTCTTGTTGAGCTCCTGCCGGT